TGTTCATTCAGCACTCCTTCATGTTCATTCAGCACTCCTTCATGTTCTTTCAGTACTCCGACAGTTTAGCACTGACGTAGCTACTAGCCCAGATGACTAGCCTCTTCTGCTCGCCAAGTTTGCCTTCGAACTTAACTCCTCAAGTTTTACAGACTTTTCCTCTCCGCCATTACGTTCCTAGGCAAACATATATATTTTTATTACCCATTCATCTGGAATTTAAGAAAAGAAGCGAGTTCCCCTTTAACACGTAATTTCCAGCATATAGTGTCTTGTGTAGCCGCTTTCGAAGTTGTGAAAATTCCAGTAAGGAAACTTGTCCATCGTTTGGAAGGGAAAGTGTTCATCTTATTGTGGCGGAGTCACTGGCAGTGACATCTAGATGACTCTTCCTCACTCACTCCTCGCTCTTCACCTGTAGTGTGTAGAATCTAACAGTGTTTTCCTCGTTGTCATAAACATCTGAGTATGAATGTCATCTGGTTTTCCTTGTCAAGTATTCCTCACGCTGTCTCTATTTTATGTTCGTCTCCTTGCCTGTTCTGTCAGTTTTAGTACACTGCTTCTTTTATCTCTTTCCTTTCTTCTTCTGTTAGTTTCTGTACACTGCTCCTCTCATCTCTGTCCTTCCCATATTCTGTTGCATCAGACAAACGGTTTTTTTTTTTTTTTCGTTAAGCATTTACAGAGTCTTGGAACTCGGGTGCAACTAATTTATATCCACACCGATTTAAAATTACAGTCGGATGATTTTGCCAGCAACAAAAGTTCCAATAAATTTGCGAGCTCCATTCTCAACCTACATACTGTTGCTGTCCGTGTGCTCCGTTTTCCTTGTATACTCTTAGCTGGTGCCAGGCCAACAGACGTGACCACTGCTCACAAATAATACCCTTAACTCCACTCTGGGATTCCCACCTCTCCACTCATCGTTTGCCTTTTCTAGTCTCCGCCCTCTCCGTTCCTCCTTTTTCCTTTAGTTCTTTCTATTCTTTTTGCTTTCTTCTCCCTTCGCCCTACTTTCTTTCCTCTACTGCTGCCTTCCCTAGTCTTCCTCCGAGCTAACAACATTCACACCTGGAGAACGCTCAGTTTAACAATTCACTCGATAAGAACACCACAGCACAGGGCGATCTCGCTGCACTTGTATGTGTTCTTCAGTGCTTGATATGGAAATTACACACACACGCAAACACACACACACACACACACACACACACACACACACACACACACACACACACACCACACACACACACACACACACACACCACACACACATAAGATAAATTTTTACATCCTCAGGCTTTCTCAGAAGCTGTAAGATGTAAACATCGAAGCAGTATGTTCGTTCGCACCATTTAAAACCGACTCTTTCCTGTCTCGGGAGAGGAAAGCTTTATCCTTCAGTATTCTCGGGGGACTTCACAAGCAGTCTACCGGTGAAAAAAAAAATAAAAACTTGCCGTGTGAGTACGAACCGAAGCACTCATAAAACACACGCATCATATGAACCCCATTTGCAAGACTGGAGGTGAGCAATGGTATTGGAATACCGACATGTGAAAAAACACACTTATGTACAGTTCAAGAAAATTTAAAAAATAAACGTTTCGCCCCCTCGTCGAAACGTTTACTACACTTTTTTTTCTGAACGTACAAAAAGGTTTTTTCCACAACAAACGGGAGATACAGGAGTTTACCTTTGTATGTTACATCACTGACAAAAAACCCCCCCCCCCCCCTCCTCACTTGACCACCCAGCAACTGGAAATACTTGGCACCACTGTGTTTTCCGGCACTAGTTTTTTTGTCCCCTGGGATGGTGGTCCCTTCCAGCACCCCACTTTATTTCCCCCTGTTTTTCCCCCCGGGCTGGGTACCGTTTTGCACTTTCGTGTTTGTAAATTCCCGTTATGACTTGGGTTGGGCTGTAGAGGGGAAAAAGATATAAATAATAAATATATATATTATATATATATATATATAATATTATATATATATATATATATATATAAAAAATATAAAAAACAGCTATTTGGGGGATAATGGGCAAATGAGAGCATAGGCAATGGGGGCGAAAAAGGATGGGGGAGGAAAAAAAAAATGTTTTGTTAGAGTGTTCAAACAGAAGTTTTTTGGTTACAGGAAAGTGGGGGGCAGGAGGGAAGAGGAGGGGATTGGGGGGAATAAAGATGTAAAGAGAGTAGAAAAGGGGGAAAAAGTTAGCAAAGAAAGTTTTTTTCAAAGTAAAAAAGTGAAGGGAAGGAGGGGAAAAGTATAGGAAAAAGAGAGAGGTTAAAAGAGTGGTGAAGCAAAGTAAAAAAAAGCAAAGAGAGAGTGGGGGAGATTTATCCCAAAAAATTTTTTTTGAAAATAAAAAAAGTTTTTTAGTGAATTAACAAAATTAAGAAAGCCTAGAAACAAATTTGGGTTTGTCATTAAAAAAAAGGAGAGGGAAATTTTTAAATGGAGAGTTAGAGGTATTGGGAAGATGGAGGGAATATTTTGAGGAATTGTTAAATGTTGATGAAGATAGGGAAGCTGTGATTTCGTGTATAGGGCAAGGAGGAATAACATCTTGTAGGAGTGAGGAAGAGCCAGTTTGTGAGTGTGGGGAAGTTCGTGAGGCAGTAGGTAAAATGAAAGGGGTAAGGCACCGGATTGAATGGATAAAGATAGAATTTTAAAAGCAGTGGGATATAGTTTTGGAGTGGTTGGTGCAATATTTAATAAATGTATGGAAGAGGGTAAGGTACCACTAGGGATTGGCAGAGAGCACTGCATAGTTCCTTTGTATAAAGGCAAAGGGGATAAAAGAGAGTGCAAAAATTATAGGGGATAAGTCTGTTGAGTGTACCTGGTAAAGTGTATGGTAGAGTTATAATTGAAAGAATTAATGAGTAAGACGGAGAATAGGATAGCAGATGAACAAGGAGGCTTTAGGAAAGGTAGGGGTGTGTGGACCAGGTGTTTACAGTGAAACATATAAGTGAACAGTATTAGATAAGGCTAAAGAGGTCTTTGTGGCATTTATGGATTTAGGAAAAGGCGTATGACAGAGTGGATAGGGGGGCAATGTGGCAGATGTTGCAAGTGTATGGTGTAGGAGGTAGTTACTGAAAGCAGTGAGAGTTTATTAACGAGGATAGTGAGGCTCAAGTTAGAGTATGTAGAAAGAGGGAAATTTTTTCCCAGTAAAAAGTAGGCCTTAGACAAGGATGTGTGATGTCACCGTGGTTGTTTAATATATTATAGATGGGGTTGTAAGAGAAGTAAATGCGAGGGTCTTGGCAAGAGGCGTGGAGTTAAAAGATAAAGAATCCCCACACAAAGTGGGAGTTGTCACACGCTTGCTCTTTGCTGATGACACGTGCTCTTGGAGATTCTGAAGAGAAGTTGCAGAGATTGGTGGATGAATTTGGTAGGGTGTGCAAAAGAAGAAAATTAAAGGTAAATACAGGAAAGAGTATGGTTATAAAGGATAACAAAAGTTTAGGTGATGAAAGATTGAATATCAGATTGGAGGGAGAGAGTATGGAGGAGGTGAACGTTTTTCAGATTTTTTGGGAGTGACGTGTCAGCGGATGGGTCAATGAAAGATGAGGTGAATCATAGAATTAAATGGGGGAAAAAGAGTGATTGGTGCACTTAGGATCTGTGGAACAAAAAACTTTGTCCTTGGAGGCAAAGAGGGGAATGTATGAGAGTATAGTTTTACCACGCTCTTATATGGGTGTGAAGCGTGGGTGATAAATGTTGCAGCGAGGAGAAGGCGGAGGCAGTGGAGATGTCATGTCTGAGGGCAATGTGTGGTGTGAATATATGCAAGAATTCGTAGTTTGGAAGTTAGGAGGTGCGGGAAATTACCAAAACTGTTGTCCAGGGCTGAGGAAGGTTGTTGAGGGGGTTTTCAACATGTAGAGAGAATGGAGCGAAAAAATGACTTCAAGAGTGTATCAGTCTGTAGTGGAAGGAAGGCGGGGGAGGGGTCGGCCTAGGAAAGGTTGGAGGGAGGGGAAAAAGGGGGTTTTGTGTGCGAGGCTTGGACTTCCACAGCATGCATGAGCGTGTTTGATAGGAGTGAATGGAGACAAATGGTTTTTAATACTTTCGTGCTGTTGGAGTGTGAGCAAAGAACATTTATTTAAGGGATTCAGGGAAACCGCAGGCCGACTTGATCTGGAGATGGGAAGTACAGTGCCTGCACTCTGAAGGAGTGTGTTAATGTTGCAGTTTAAAAACTGTAGTGTAAAGCACCCTTCTGGCAAGACAGTGATGGAGTGAATGATGTGAAAGTTTTTCTTTTTCGGGCCACCTGCCTTGGTGGGAATCGGCCAGTGTGATAATAAAAAAAAAAATAATATATATATATATATATTTTATATATATATATATATATAATATATATATGTGTGTGTGTGTGTGTGTGTGCGTGTGTGTGTGGTGGCGTGTGTGCGTGTGTGTGTGTGTGTGTACTCACCTATTTGTGGTTGCAGGGGTCGAATCATAGCTCCTGGCCCCACCTCTTCACTGATTGCTACTGGGTCCTCTCTCTCCCCCTGCTCCATGAGCTTTATCAAACCTCGTCTTAAAACTATGTATGGTTCCCGCCTCCACTACGTCACTTTCTAGGCTGTTCCACTTCCTGACAACTCTGAAGAAATACTTTCTAACGTCCCTTAGACTCATAAGATTCTTCAGCTTCATTGTGTGTGTGTGTGTGTGTGTGTGTGTGTGTGTGTGTGTGTGTGTGTGTGTGTGTGTGTGTGTGTGTAGACTGGAGCGAGTTTGCGGAATGTAAAAATGAAGTTGGAGATGTGTTGGTCATTGTATTGTACGGAGTGACTTTGAGTGTGGGGGATAAGGTGGGAGGGAAGGAAGAGAGAAAGTGACCTTGATGGAGGGAGAAACTTGCCAAAGTGATACTAGTCGAGGCATTAAGTTAGGGTGGAGATACTAACGTAGAGTGGAAGCACTAACATAAGATCCTCTTGCAGACTGTGGAGGTTGCAACATGAAGTTCTCTCACCCGCTCTACTATCGGATGCACTGTTCTGTCTTCCACGACCCAAACTACTCCCTCACCATCCGCAAGTACCACTGCAAGGTAACTACCGCACTGCTTGTTAACTTCTTTCACCACCACCACCACCACCACCACCAACCACTACTACTGCCACTACTTCCACTGCTGCTAAAAGGTAACGACTTCTCTCAGTATTATATGGACGTCTCTCTGGAATCCAGTTCTCTTACCATCGTCATCACCAGTTTAAGTCAGTTATATATATATATAATATATATATATAAAAATATATATATATATATATATATATATATATATATATATATATATATTATATATATATATATATATATAAACACTTAGTTAAACCGACTCACAAGTGGTTTAGCCACATACAGTTCTTTTCTTACCTATTATCTCTTCCTATCTAGCCACCAGGTTTTTTCACTGTCCTTTCTTACCCCAGCCCTCCCCCCCTCCCCCTAGCCCTGTGATTTAGCCTAAATTTAAATACAATTGTGAGTGTAAAATATAATAATGATAGTATTACTAGATAATAGAATTATTTTATTTAAACTCACTTGAGGTTAGAGAGAGACAGATCACGTTCTGCTGGAATTAGTTTATTTGGTAAGGAATTATTTAGACGAGGAATTCTAAGAAATGTGTGATTGTGTGAAGTCGTTATTCACTCTAGGGAAAAACAGCAACAATGAAGCAGAGGACCCATGACTGTGGGAGGTACTGACTGGAGCCTTGATCCTCCCTGAGCGTGACTTCCCACCACCTCCCACAAGGGGACACGCTGCCACCACCTCCCACAAGGGGACACGCTGCCACCACCTCCCACAAAGTGACACGCTGCCACCACCTCCCACAAAGTGACACGCTGCCACCACCTCCCACAAAGTGACACGCTGCCACCACCTCCCACAAAGTGACACGCTGCCACCACCTCCCACAAAGTGACACGCTGCCACCACCTCCCACAAGGGGACACGTTGCCACCACCTCCCACAAAGTGACACGCTGCCACCACCTCCCACAAGGGGACACGCTGCCACCACCTCCCACAAAGTGACACGCTGCCACCACCTCCCACAAAGTGACAACGCTGCCACCACCTCCCACAAGGGACACGCTGCCACCACCTCCCACAAGGGGACACGCTGCCACCACCTCCCACAAGGGGACACGCTGCCACCACCTCCCACAAGGGGACACGTTGCCACCACCTCCCACAAAGTGACACGCTGCCACCACCTCCCACAAGGGGACACGCTGCCACCACCTCCCACAAAGTGACACGCTGCCACCACCTCCCACAAAGGGACACGCTGCCACCACCTCCCACAAGGGGACACGCTGCCACCACCTCCCACAAGGGGACACGCTGCCACCACCTCCCACAAGGGGACACCTGCCACCACCTCCCACAAGGGGACACGCTGCCACCACTCCCACAAGGGGACACGCTGCCACCACCCTCCCACAAGGGGACACGCCGCCACCTCCTCCCACAAGGGGACACGCTGCCACCACCTCCCACAAGGGGACACGCTACCACCACCTCCCACAAAGTGACACCTGCCACCACCTCCCACAAGGGGACACGCTGCCACCACCTCCCACAAGGGGACACGCTGCCACCACCTCCCACAAGGGGACACGCTGCCACCACCTCCACAAGGGAACACGCTGCCACCAACCTCCCACAAGGGGACACGCTGGCCACCACCTCCCACAAGGGGACACGCTGCCACCACCTCCCACAAGGGACACCTGCCACCAACCTCCCACAAAGTGACACGCTGCCACCACCTCCAACAGGGGACACGCTGCCACCACCTCCCACAAAGTAACACGCTGCCACCACCACTCCACAAGGGGACAACGCTGCCACCACCTCCCACAAGGGGACACGCTGCCACCACCTCCCACAAGGGGACACGCTGCCACCACCTCCCACAAGGGGACACGCTGCCACCACCTCCCACAAGGGGACACGCTGCCACCACCTCCCACAAGGGGACACGCTGCCACCACCTCCCACAAGGGGACACGCTGCCACCACCTCCCACAAGGGGACACGCTGCCACCACCTCCCACAAAGTGACACGCTGCCACCACCTCCAACAAGGGGACACGCTGCCACCACCTCCCACAAAGTAACACGCTGCCACCACCCTCCCACAGGGGACACGCTGCCACCACCTCCCACAAGGGGACACGCTGCCACCACCTCCCACAAGGGGACACGCTGCCACCACCTCCCACAAGGGGACACGCTGCCACCACCTCCCACAAGGGGACACAGCTTGCCACCACCTCCCACAAGGGGACACGCTTGCCACCACCTCCCACAAAGTGGACACGCTGCCACCACCTCCCACAAAGTAACACGCTGCCACCACCTCCCACAAGGGACACGCTGCCACCACCTCCCACAAAGTGACACGCTGCCACCACCTCCCACAAGGGGACACGCTGCCACCACCTCCCACAAAGTGACACGCTGCCACCACCTCCCACAAGGGGACACGCTGCCACCACCTCCCACAAGGGGACACGCTGCCACCACCTCCCACAAGGGGACACGCTGCCACCACCTCCCACAAGGGGACACGCTACCACCACCTCCCACAAGGGGACACGCTGCCACCACCTCCCACAAGGGGACACGCTGCCACCACCTCCCACAAGGGGACACGCTGCCACCACCTCCCACAAGGGGACACGCTGCCACCACCTCCCACAAGAGGACACGCTGCCACCACCTCCCACAAGGGGACACGCTGCCACCACCTCCCACAAAGTGACACGCTGCCACCACCTCCCACAAGGGGACACGCTGCCACCACCTCCCACAAGGGGACACGCTGCCACCACCTCCCACAAAGTGGACACGCTGCCACCACTCCAACAAGGGGACACGCTGCCACCACCTCCCACAAAGAAACACGCTGCCACCACCTCCCACAAGGGAGACGCTGCCACACACCTCCCACAAGGGACACGCTGCCACCACCTCCCACAAGGGGACACGCTGCCACCACCTCCCACAAGGGGACACGCTGCCACCACCTCCCACAAGGGGACACGCTGCCACCACCTCCCACAAGGGGACACGCTGCCACCACCTCCCACAAGGGGACACGCTGCCACCACCTCCCCAAAGTGACATGCTGACCACCCTCCAACAATGGGACAACGCTCCACCACCTCCCACAAGGGACACGCTGCCACCACCTCCCACAAAGTGACACGCTGCCACCACCTCCAACAAGCGGACACGCTGCCACCACCTCCCACAAAGTGACACGCTGCCACCACCTCCCACAAGGGGACACGCTGCCACCACCTCCCACAAGGGGACACGCTGCCACCACCTCCCACAAGGGACACGCTGCCACCACCTCCCACAAGGGACACGCTGCCACCACCTCCCACAAGGTGACACGCTGCCACCACCTCCCACAAGGGACAACGCTGCCACCACCTCCCACAAGGGACACGCTGCCACCCTCCCACAAGGGGACACGCTGCCACCACCTCCCACAAGGGACACGCTGCCACCACCTCCCACAAGGGGACACGCTGCCACCACCTCCCACAAGGGACAACGCTGCCACCACCTCCCACAAGGGACACGCTGCCACCAACCATCCCACAAGGGGACACCTGCACCACCTCCCACAAAGTAACACGCTGCCACCACCTCCCACAAGGGACACGCTGCCACCACTCCCACAAGGGGACACAGCTGCCACCATCTCCCACAAGGGGACACGCTGCCACCACCTCCCACAAGGGGGCACGCTGCCACCACCTCCCACAAGGGGACACGCTGCCACCTACCACTCCCACAAGGGAAACGCTGCCACCACCTCCCACAAGGTGACACGCTGCCAACACCTCCACAAGGGACACGCTGCCACCACCTCCCCACAAGGGACAACGCTGCCACCACCTCCCACAAGGGACACGCTGCCACCACCTCTCACAAGGGGACACGCTGCCACCACCTCCCACAAGGGACACGCTGCACCACCTCCCACAAGGGGACACGCTGCACCACCTCCCACAAAGTGACATGCTGCCACCACCTCCCACAAGGGGAAACGCTGCCACCACCCCCCCACAAGGGGACACGCTGCCACCACCTCCCACAAAGTGACACCTCCCACCACCTCCAACAAACGGGCACCTGCCCACCAAACCCCCCACAAAGTGACACGCTTCCACCACCTCCCACAAGGGGACACGCTGCCACCAACCTCCCACAAGGGGACACGCTGCCACCACCTCCCACAAAGTGACACGCTGCCACCACCCCACAAGGGGACACGCTGCCCCCCACCTCCCACAAGGGGACACGCTGCCACCACCTCCCCCCAAGGGGACACGCTGCCACCACCTCCCACAAGGGGACACGCTGCCCCCACCTCCCACAAAGGGGAAACGCTGCCACCACCTCCCACAAGGGACAAAGCTGCCACCACCTCCCACAAGGGGACACGCTGCCACCACCTCCCCACAAGGGGGCACGCTGCCACCACCTCCCACAAGGGGACACGCTAAAACCACCACCTCCCACAAGGGGACACGTTGCCACCACCTCCCCCAAGGGGACACGCTGCCACCACCTCCCACAAGGGGACACGCTGCCACCACCCCCCACAAAGGGGGCATGCTGCCACCACCTCCCACAAGGGACCACCTGCCACCACCTCCCACAAGGGGACACGCTGCCACCACCCTCCCACAAGTGACACCTGCCACCCCACCTCCCACAAGGGACATGCTGCCACCACCTCCCACAAGGGGACACGCTGCCACCACCTCCCACAAGGGGACACGCTGCCAAACCAAATCCCACAAGGGACACGCTGCCACCAAACCTCCCACAAGGGACACCTGCCACCACCTCCCCACAAGGGACACGCTGCCAAACCCCCTCCCACAAGGGACACGCTGCCACCACCTCCCACAAAGTGACACGCTGCACCACCTCCCACAAGGGGACACGCTGCCACCACCTCCCACAAGGGGACACGCTGCCACCACCTCCCACAAGGGAC